CAAGAGTTCCGAATGGTTCGGGCAACGAAATCAAGAAAGAAATTCGTCTAGATGTCTTAATTATAAGCATTTCGCTTTTTGCTCTAGCGGCCTTGATCCTGGCAATTTTTGGGATTTATGTCCACAGAAATCATGTTGCGAGATATAAGACGATCCCCCATGTTGGACTGATTGAGGATGTTGGTTTGCGAGCATTCACCTATCCAGAGCTTGTGGAAGCAACAAATGAGTTCAAAGAAGAGCTCGGTAGAGGAGCATCTGGCACAGTTTACAAAGGAACCTTATCAGACAACAGAAGTATTGTCGCTGTGAAGAGGCTCGAGAAAGAATTGGAAGAAGGAGAAAAAGAATTCCAAACTGAGATGAAGGTGATAGGAAAAACGTATCATCGGAATCTAGTCAGACTTCTTGGTTACTGCCGTGAAGGAGCTAAGTGGCTTCTAGTATATGAATACATGAAAAATGGATCACTTGCAGATATACTTTTCAATCAAGAAAATCGACTGTGTTGGGAAGAAAGAATTCGAATTGCTAGTGATATTGCAAGAGGCATCCTCTATTTGCATGAGGAGTGCGAGACGCAGATCATTCATTGTGATATAAAACCTCAAAACATACTCATGGATGAGCAAAGGTGTGCAAAAATTTCGGACTTTGGACTGGCAAAGCTCTTAAAGAAAGATCAGACAAACACATATACAGGGATAAGAGGAACTCGAGGTTATGTAGCCCCGGAGTGGCACAGGAAATTGCCTGTAACTGTTAAAGCAGATGTTTACAGCTTCGGAATTGTGCTACTAGAGATCATATGTGGTAGAAAAAGTGTCGATTCAAGCCTCTCTCCGGATGAAGCTATTCTTGAAGAATGGGTTTACAACTGTTTCGCTGCCGGAGAGCTGAATGAGTTGGTGGGAGATGAGGAGGTTGATGAGAGAAAATTGGACAGAATGATTAAAATAGGTATTTGGTGCATCCAAGATGAGCCATCTCTCCGTCCGTCGATGAAGAAAGTTCTATTGATGTTGGAAGGGACCGTGGAAATCCCAGTACCTCCAAGTCCTACTTCTTTCCTTAGTACAATATAGTTTTACATTTTCACCTTTTTGTGTTTTCTTGCATCATGGCAATTGCCTTTGTGCATATAGTTTGCGTTAGAGAATAAGTTGCTGCTTGATTAACAACAGATGTTTGAATCAATTAGAAGATCACAAGACTAAGTAGCAGATTCTTGGATGTCAAATAAAACAGTAAATTAACTTATGATTTGTATGGTTTTAGGATTTTCTCTGGTTTTTTGAAGTTTTGATTTGTGAGCTCTTAGAAAATGTACAGAGCTACTTTCTCCCTTACTAAAAATTTCAGACGTACTTCTCTCTCATGTAATACTTATATATACGATTATATTATTTTTCTTATTCTTTTTTTAAAATTTTTATTTAGAGGAAAAGAGTTGATTTTAAAAAAAAAATTAATTTTTTTTTGTGAAGTTATTAAATCTTAACCATATTTGAATTCTTATTAAATGGACAAACTAAAATCTATCTATATTTAATAAAAAGTTGGACAAAAAAGAATTTAACATTTAAACCTTTGATGCCAACATTTTTTTCATTTTTAATTTTCTAAACTTAGGATAGTGTAAATGTAATGAAGAAATCGTTTCTAAATCAACTTATTAAGCGACATAAAACATTTAGCCCATATTTGGTGGGGATTAAAATCAGATTTTTGATAGATTTTAATAGAAGTTGGTAAAATGTGTAGTTGAAAAGTTGTGGATCCCATGAAATGTATTGTTAAAATTAATTTCGGACTTTGACTTGGATTAAAATCTTGATTTTTAGTAGCACCGAACACAGGCTTAACAATTTTTAACTAGCTACATTAAATTATTATTATTTTAAGACATTTATTTATGTTAATTTGTTAATTATTTAACAATCATATCTTAAAAAATCATATTTGAAAATTTATTAAATTTTATAACAACATTATAATTATATTAAGATTTTAACTAGCCTTATTAATTAGTCTAAAATGTTTATTTACATCGATTTGTTAATTATTTGTCAATCATATTTTTTAAGAGATCTCGTTTAATAATTTTATAAATTTTATAACAGGTCCATTTTGCAAGTTCGTTATGAAGGGTATAAGATGTATAATGTTATTTTTTTAAACTAAAATGGTTTTATCAAAATAAAGAGTATGAAAAAATAGAAAGAAGAAAATGAGAAATGTATATTTTATGAAAGAAGAAAAGAAAAGTATATATTTTAAATTAATAATAGAACAATTTTAAAATAGAACAGAAGTGTAAAATGAGAAATGTATATTTTATTTTTTTAGCAAAAGCAAGCACAAGGGAGATTATTAATTTTTTTGAAAAAGAAAAGAATATAATGTCATTGTGCTAATGCAAAGAATTAAAAAAAAAAAAAAAAGGAAATTGTATCCAATTCATGGTTGTGAAGTGAAAAACTTAGAATATTTTAGTGAAATCGCTTCCCATGGTGCACGCAAGAATAAGTATCCAACTATTTTTATTTGTATTTTTTTATGGATGCATTTGTGTACGAAAAGTGATCTTAATATAAAAATAACATATAGTGTATAACTCGAGAGGAATTAAATTGTGCATTCTACGCGACAATGATTCATAACGTTGAGACTTCAATCTGAAACTAAAATGGAAGAATAATCGAGTTGAAACATTGACTTGAAATGGTCAAGTTCGGGTTTAAAAGAATTTTTTTTACGTAATTTTCTTCACCAATCACTTTACTTATTATTTTAAAATAATCCTTTTTTCGTGGTGCAAAGAATAGACTCCAACCTTGATTAGAAAAGAGTAGATTTTCTGAACCAAGAAATTGTAGGAAACGGTCATTGTTGTCGATCCATTTCATGGAATTGTTACTTTTGACGAATATTGTGAAAATGGTCACTTCTAATAAAAGGTACCAAATAATATATCTTTACTATGAATTTGTGCGAGGCACTTCATATTTTCGCATGGGCCGATTATTAGAGAACTACTGCATATGTTGCAATTTCAGACAGCTCAATGTACGAGATAATCTTATCTTATCTTATCTTATCTTATCTTA